GCTCCCGAGGACACATGGGAATATCGTCAAGCTAGTTTTCATCACGTTCATATGATTCGCGTCCGGTACTTTGATAATTTGGTATGTGGGTGGACCGGTGCTTGGGTACTGCCCTTGCTTGGACAATCATCCCACTTATGATTAACCTCTATTGCAAGCATCCACAAATACAACAAAAGTATTAAGGTAAACCTAACCATAGCATGAAACATATGGATCCAAATCAGCCCCTTACGAAGCAACGCATAAACTAGGGTTTAAGCTTCTGTCACTCTAGCAACCCATCATCTACTTATTACTTCCCAATGCCTTCCTCTAGGCCCAAATAATGGTGAAGTGTCATGTAGTCGACGTTCACATAACACCACTAGAGGAGAGACAACATACATCTCATCAAAATATCGAACGAATACCAAATTCACATGACTACTAATAGCAAGACTTCTCCCATGTCCTTAGGAACAAAAGTAACTACTCACAAAGCATAAACATGTTCATAATCAGAGGGGTATTAATATGTATATAGGATCTGAACATATGATCTTCCACCAATTAAACCAACTAGCATCCACTACAAGGAGTAATTAACACTACTAGCAACCTACTAGCACCAATCCCGGACTTGGAGACAAGAATTGGATACAAGAGATGAACTAGGGTTTTGAGAAGAGATGGTGCTGATGAAGATGTTGATGGAGATTGCCCTCTCCCGATGAGAGGAGCGTTGGTGATGACGATGGCTTCAGAGAGATCCCTAAAGCATATGCTCTCAGAAATATCTAATAGTTGTTTTTGGTTTACAATTAATTATACATAAATAAATAAATAAAATTTAGAGTATAATATGTTTACGAGCAGCTTCTCGCTGAATCATTAGCTATATGATCCCTTTTGGGGTCATATGTGTCTCACATGTTACACATTCATTGATACATGTCGATGGAATAGCTAAACTAGTCCTACTCCCTCCTTCCATCTATATAGGGCCTAATGCGTTTTTTAAGACCGTCTTTGACTATTGACAAGATTAATAGTACATGACATGCATAATATGAAAATTATATCACTGAAAGCTCCTTTCACACACGAATTTAACGGTGTGCTTTGTGTAAGTTGCATGTCATATATTATTGCTCTAATATTTGATCAAAGTTAGCCTCGAAAAACGCATTAGGCCATATATAGATGGAAGGAGGGAGTACGTGGAATCCGCATGTCTGGTCAACATAATTGAAAGATAATCAACAAAAGTCCAAGAAAATCACCACGTGAACAAGTCAAAGGAAGAGGAGAAATAAAAGACAAAGTCAAAGATGAATCCAAGAAGCAAAGAAGCTCAAGTCTAGAAGAGACCCAAAT